TGAACTTAAATAAGAACTTCCCCTAAAAGCTGGGCAGTGGTGACATAGCCATGATACGCAGAGACACCTATCTCAAAGTAAACTGAAGAAGAGCAAGAAAAAGAAAAGGACTTCCCCTAAAACCATGTTTTCCTTTTGTCCTCCAAACCTACTGTCGAAAGCTCCACACGGAACACCACGTCCACTGTGGACACAGTGTTGTACAGCCGTCACCTCTGTCTACTTCTACAATACTTCTCCCCCTCCAAAAGGAAACCCAAGCAGCCCCGCCACCTCACCCCTCCCTCATGCCCCTTGCAACATCTAAGCTACGCTGTCTCTGTCCATGTCTCGTGGGCATATTTCCTGAAATGGGGTCTTAGAGGATGTCTTCCGTTAGAGCTGCCTTCTTTCAAAGTTCATTACCTTATATTGGTACATTGGTACATTGCACCTTTTACTGCTGAGTCCAGTCAGCAGTGACATCCCAGTAAATGGATGCCGCACTTTGTTGATCCCTTTAACCACTGATGGGACAAGTAAGTTGCCTCTGCTTTTTGTAAATACCTCTACTGTGAAAATCGATGTACAGAGGCCTTGTCTGAACACCTGCTCTCATTTCTCTTTAGTACACCTGGGCGTGGAATTGCTAGGCCGACCATGCGATGACTGTTTGGCATACTGAGAAACTGCACAACTGAAGCCCTGCTTTCTTCCTTTGTGCGTGCGGCAGGTGGGTGGGTGGCCAGCAGTATCCTCCAGAGCTGCTTCTCCTCTCCACCCTGTCACTCCGTTATGAACTCAACCCCCTCTTCCTGAACCCCACAGCAGCCTCACAAAGATGGCTGGACACCAGGTCATTCAGGGCTGTGCCTGGGGACATCCCATGTCTCACAGTGACAACACTGAGTACGTTCTCTCTGGAGCTGCCTGCCTCCTGGGACTCTCCCATTCCACAGGCCATCTGGCCACTTTGCCTCGGGAATGACTTTCCTGAGTGGGTGTTTTGGATCATGGAGGATCATGGCCAGTTGAGCGCAGTGACCCCTCATTATGAGGCTGGAGTGACTATGGACAAAGTGCTGAGAGTGGGCAGTCTGAAGTGTGGGGAGGCTGAGGCCTGTGATAGCACGCTGACTCAGTAAGCCCAGGACCAATAACCTGGCTAGAATTACTGGTCTGTAGTGGGAGCCCTTCCGGACCTCCAGGCACAGTTTTCCAGCCCTTCTGAGACCCCTCCCCCTCCAGGAACCAGTGAGGTTCCAAACACAGAAAGTAAAGCCATGCATATGGCATAAGGGTCCTCACACCTGTCAGCTGAGAATACCCAGGGTGCATAGCACCAGGCAGGGAGCTGCTCAAAACAGAAGCAGCCGTGTGGTTTATGAGCTTTATGAGCTATGATAACATGGTTGTCCTAGCCAGCTCTTGGGGAAGCTGCTCTTAGCACTTGCCTAAAGGAAGAGTAAAAGTGGAGAGTGCCCGCTTCCCATAGACGGAGCTCAAGTCTTTCTAAATAGCCTTGTGATTGGTCACCAGACTTCAGGACCCGGGAGGGTGGGCAGCCTGCCACAGTACACAAAACCCTGTCTCCAACCAGACCCGGACTTTCTGTGCTTCTGGGGCTCAGCACCTTGAGGTAAATACTGAGTAAAAGCTGGAGAGCAGGTGGCAGGATGATGACAACAACGAAATAACTCTTCACCTGTCCTCACCACAGAGTGACTGAAGCATAGATTCCCTCATACATGGGGGCTGAGGCAAGCCCAAGAGCCAGTAGGACCAGAATCCAGGCCTGTAGCCCCAACCGTGTATTTAAATATCAGATGAATCAAAAGCAACCTCGTGGGCTTAGGGCACCCTACCCTAGGATGGAGAGTTGGGTACAGGGGCTCATGCCTGTAACCTCAGCATCAGGAGGCTGAGGCCTGAGTTCACAGTCAACCTGACCTACACATAGTTAGATCTCAACTCAGAAGAAAAAAGAGGGAGGAAGAGGGAGGGATGTGGAGGCACCCTTTCTTTCCTGATTAAGTCCTACTCGCTTCTCACGCCACTGAGGGGAGTGCTAGCAGCTGGGAGTTGAGTATCTGACACAGACAGAATCTGTGGCTGGGAGCAGAGTTGGCAGGCCCAGAAACAGGGCTGGCGGTGGCAGTGAGGAAGAGCCTCTCCTTATGGCTGTGCCTTGCCTTTTTCTGACCACTTCCCATGTCACTAGAGGACCAGGAAACAGCCACTCCAGCCAGCTCCCTGGGGCAGGCTGAGGCCCCGCACTGCCCGTGAGAGGGAGAGGATGCTTAGCACTTTCCTGGCCAAGGAGAGAGCTCCTCCGTGGGAGGTGGGGAGCCACCACAGGCTGGCACAGGGATGGTGGCCTGCCGGAGAAAGGGGGGCCCAGAGCTGTGTGCACCACAGTGCAGAAGAGCCCAATTCCCTGGTTCCCGCCCTCCTCCTAACAGAGGGCTGTCCTCCAGCAGCAGCGTCCTCTGGAAGGGAGGAAGGCCAACCTCGGGGGCCCTAGGTGTGCTTGGGCCTCTCAGGCTTGGTTCTGCTAAGTGGAATTCTGTAAGGTCCCTGAGAAAGGACTGTCCTCCTCCTCCCCCTCTGTCTGCTTTCTGTCCATAGTACTTAGAGACAAACTGGCTGACTGGGACAAGAAGAGTAAAGGAAGGAAAGCAGGGGAGTGACAGGAAATCTCTACCTTCAGGATGAAGTCCTAACATCTCCAGGGATGCTCTTCCAGCCTCTATATTCCCACCACCTAACCCACACCAAACCCCCAAAAGAAAAGGACGGGGGAGGGGAGACTGTGGCTGATGACACCCTGGCCAAGGGACTAGGCTGAGAAGGCTCATCTCAGGAGGGCCCACCGCAGCAGCAAACGAACACGGCAGCCGTGCTGGGGACTGCACATTAGTCTCTCCAGCTGACACCGAGTGTGGCCTCTCTGGAGCCCATTCCCAGCAAAGCTGAGAGGCCCAGTGTGCATACTCTCCACCAGCCCCAGCAGGGAGGGGAGGCAGGCTGTGGCTCCCGGCCAGGCTTCTCCTTTCCCGGCCCCCAGAGAACTTGAGGAGAGTGGGACCCAAAAGATCTGGGTTGACAGGAGAGGCAGGCAGGTTGGGCAAGCTTGGGACCATCTTGTTCTGAGGGTTTACCTGCCGTGGGCCAGTGTGAGGCCACAGGGGACCCACACACAGCCTACTGCAGCCAAAGGCCATGCATCTAACCTTCGTGTCTGACCCCCTGACTCTCTAGAAAATGGAAAAGAGCCTGAGTCAGTGCCTCTGAGGGGTTCTGCTATTTTTATGTCCAACTCTGGTTAAAATAACTGTCTAAGCCCAGGTTCTAGCTGTGGCTGATGAGACATTAAGTATTTGATACTTAATGCTCATATGATTCTCCTGTTCCAATTTGCTGCCTCGGATCATGGCTACTGAGGCAGGTAGGAAACAGCACCTCAGTTTCTCCAACTCTGGGGCCTTCTATGGAACATGCCACCAAGTGTCCCTGGACACCAATGCCCTTGGGCCAGAACCGCAGGAAGCACCTATGCTTGGCACATTGATCCCTGGGATCGGTAGCATGCCACATAGTCTGACCCATCACCAAGGCACCTGAGCCTCCTGGACCCACCAGTGCTTGGCCAATGCAGGGAAATCTTGTTCAGCCTGGGTGGGGCTCAGCGAGTGCTGGCCTCAACCCTGGCTTCCTACATGGCCAATGGGCACTCCTTCTTCGGGGCCAGGAACTCCCTTAGCCAGGAGACCAGCAGTGTTCAGAAGACCCAGCCTGTTCTCTGACACGCAGCCTCGGCAGCAACAGTGAAGGAACCCCTAGGAGGGAGAGAGACCAATTGTTGAAGCCCATCCTAACTGGATGCTCCTAAAGCAGCAAACCTTTCTCTCTCTCTTCCCAACTCAAAGAAACTGACGCAGCGCAGCCCACGCTGAGGAGCAGGGAATGGGCTGACACGTGTGCACACACTTTTAGGTACCAGCCTACTTACACGTTTCTCAGTGTTTAAAATAAGCAGCAGCTCGAGGACGGTCAGCAGTGTGCATTGCCGGAGGCAAGGCTCCCACTTCCCAGCAGGGAGGGCGCAGCACGAAATCCCCCAGAGGGCTCCCTCAGGGTCTGGACCCGCTCAGTGACGAGCCCGGGCTGTGGCTCTCCTGGTGGACAGGAAGTGAGCTAGCAGCCAGCAGCCAGGCAGGGGGGACCATCTGCAGGGCTGTCCAGGCTCTGTGGGAATAGCCTTCACAGGGCGGGGGTGAGCTCAGACCTGCTTTGATTGGTTGGTTTGGGTAGTTTTAGGGATTGAACCCTGACCCTCACACCCGTGAGCTCTACCACCGAGCTATTCCATCTCCAGTACTTTCCCAGTTCTTAGCTTGAGACAAGGTGTCAGTAAGTTGCCCAGGCTGGCTGTAAACTCATTCTGTAGCCCAGGTTGGTCCTGAACTCACTATCCTCGTGACTCAACCACCCAAGTAACTGGGACCACAGCCCTACTGTACCCCAGGACTCAACCTCAGATCTACTTTTGACAGCCAGGCTCCATGACAGATAACCAGCTGGATTCAAGGCAGCCGTTCCTTGAGTGGCGAGGGGGAATCCTAGTCTCCCTGTTGGCAATCAGAATTGTCATGATTCAGAGCCCTGACACTCTTTGTCCTGGAACACCTAATGCCCGAGTGACTCAGTCCAATCCTGCTGGCACATGGTGCAACCACATCTGCTTCCCTGGTCCATGGGCACACAGGGTTCCCTGCACGAGCAGGCCTTCTGCCTGGCCAGCAGTGGCCACAGCACACACCTCAGTGCCGCTCTCTCCTCCCCCTTCCTCTGCCCCCCCCCCCGCTTCTGTGGGCACCTGGGGAGAAAGCAACTTGAACCCTGATACTGCCACCCCACAGGAGCCTGGCCAGTGGCAGGGCCCTGGGGGTTGCCAAGGAAACCACAGCATTCTGTATCTGCCCACTCACTGCCTGCCTGGCCTATCTTTTCCATTCCAGTGAGAAGCGCCACCTTCAAGTGAACGTCACCAACCCGGTGCAGTGCAGCCTGCATGGGAAGAAATGCACCGTCTCTGTGGAGACCCGGCTGAATCAGCCGCAGCCTGACTTCACCAAGAACCGCTCAGGCTTCATCCTCAGTGTGCCAGGAAACTGACTGCTGCACTTTGGAGGCCCGAGTCGGGCACGAGGCAGGCCGGGCCCTCAGCCTCTCCATTCCCACACGTGTTCCACCCTGCTCAGCATCCCAAGAGCCCAGCTAATTGCTGTTTGCCCTCTAATGCCACTAGAAATCAGCTTTCAAGGGCCTCCACTGGGCAGGGCTCCTCTGCCTTCTCTAAGGCCCTGCACATGAGGTGTCCTACCTGGCTTTCTGCCCCCGCCTCAGTTCTCTCAGCTATCCATACTCCCTGCTCAGGAAACCAAAGACCCTCTTCAGCCCCCACTTCAGCCAGACCACTTCTCACCTCACAAGCAACTGGACGGTACCTGTAGTTGGCAAAGGGCCAGTGGCCACTGTTGATCCCAGCGAAGGGACGGGTGGCGCAGAACTAAGACACAGTTTCTCCAGCCAAAGACACAGTCTCCTACATTTAGAGTCAGCCCCCATGAGCAGAGGACTCCGCCCTGCTCTGTGCTCCCCACCTGATGCCTCCCTTCCCCCACAGGATTGCAGCCTTTGGGACCTAGCTCAGAGTCGCTCAGCACAAGCCAAAACCACCAGGTGAACAGGTTCATCTGTGGAGCCCGTCCTTCAGCCATGATCAGCGAGGATCCCTCCTTCCCACAGCCTGTCCCTGGGGGATCTTTTGCCACCAAGGTTCCAGAACTGGACTCTCCGACCACTTCTCCCCTAGAGACACCCTGCTGCTATTCCAAGGACCAGTGAGCTTACTCCACAGCCCACGTCCATGGTCATCTTAACCTTCTCTTTTGCAGATTGCCAGGTTGCTAATCGGATGTCCCTCCTGCTGTGACCACACTGTCAGGACCCAGTAAGGAGGTGCAAGGAGAGGGCAGCGCTCGTCTCCAGCACTTCCCCTAACTCCTCTAGCTGCACCTCCTCCTCACTGGAGACCTGGGACTTGTGGGGAGCCGAAGCACACAGGGCCCAGCGGTGGGAAGTGAACAAAACTGCAGCAGAGAGCGTGGAGCCCTGGCACTGCAGGCCAGGCCAGGGTGCCCACTACACCACACACCTGCCCGCGGGAGCCCGGCCCCAGCGCCCTGCTGGGAAAGGTGCTGCCAGCTCGCCAGTGTCTGCACAGCAAAGAGCGTGCCTGCCCCAGAGGCCTTCCCGAGAGCCCTGCTCCCATCCTCTGCTGCTGAGGAGAGGGAGGCCTGTGGGCAGCCCAGGTTTGCTAAGGGGAGGCCTAACGGGGAAGGCTTGTACCAGGCAAACAGCAGGAGCCTCCTGGCTTTCAGAGCCAGGCTCCGCCCCCCAGTCCTCACCCTGTCACCGTAGCCTACCAAGTGCCCGTGTGCCACCTCCTGTGCCTTGCCCAGGGCCTGAGGGATCACCTGGCTGACCAAGCTCATTCCAGCCCCTGCTCTCACAACCCCTCTGGCAGAGCTGTGGGGACCTCCACACTGCCGGCAGTTTGCAGCAGAGACTCCTGTTGCTGCGCTGTCCTCGGGAACCTTTCTCACCCTCCAAGCCTGGTCAGCTGCCCGCCCAGTGCGGAGGTGCCACCAGCCAGTGTTGCCAATCGCTGGTGGGCACAGACAGAACCATCTGACTGGAACTTCACCTTTTCCTTTCCACTTATTGCCCCAGCGTGTTCCTTTACATTAGACATGCTCAAGTGTGTTCACACACACCAAGCAGGTCATGCCAAAAGAGCAGCAGCTCAGAGGCTCTCTTCCCACCTTCTGACGTGGCCTGGGACCCCTGGCCCAGGCCAGAACCTTCCATCGAGGACTGCCCTGTCCAAAAAGCACTTTCTCATGACCTACAAGTCAGGCTGTGGCCACTGAAGGACCTGGAATTTGGGGTGTGAATGATCACAGTAAGGGGAAGAGAGAGGACACAGTGATTGTATGCATGGAGTGGGGTCTCTTGATTTAATGAAATGCAGTTTATGGTTTGGTGCATATATTCCTATTTTCCATTAAATTAACTTTATTTCTAAAGCATATTTTGATTTACCATCAAGAGCAATAAAGCAGTAAATCTTATTTTTAAAGGTGTTATGTTTATCATTGAAAAATAGTGAAACCTTAGTTTATGTAGTCAGCTACCATCCCAGAAGGTAGGAAAATTAAGCACAAATTATGTAGCATGGGGAATAATTTGCCCAAGGCTTTTGAACAGAAAAATTAGGGAGCAAGAAGCAAGCTGTGTGAGGGAAGAGGCAAGAGGCAGCCTTGGAATTCAATCCGGAACTCTCTTCTGCCATTCTGAAGCCTGCACTCTAGACTCCTAAGGGAACATGGTTCTGAAATGAACGCATGTCCACACAAAGGATGGACGAGGCAGGCAGGAGCCTTAATCACAAGCTGCAGGCCCTCAACAACGGCTGCAGGGCCAGCAGAGGACAGGGTCTCGCTGCCCTCTTCCCGGCTGGCAGGCAGACCACACGTGGAGACTGAGGCAGCAGCGTACCTGGAGACCCAGGACTAGATTCCTCAGAGGCCAAACTGTTGGGCCACCAGGACGCCTGTCCACCCCTGCTGGCCTTTGGGCAGAGGGTGCTGAGCAAGGCAGGCCCAGGGCAAAGCGGGAGCGCAGCCTTGGCACCAGTCTAAGGCCAGGTGCCCACGCAGGACTTACATGGCCAACCCTGACCAAGCGGTACCTAAACCCGACTGGGCCCCTGTGGCTTGAGCTGCTAGTCTTGTGACCCCACAAAGGAAGCCCCCTGGGAGAACCTGCCCGACCACCAAGCCAAAGCTGACTCCCCCCTTGCGCCGATTTCTCAATCGCTGAAGTCTGTTCCAGCCCTTTGCCCAACTGTACCGCTCTACCCACACAAACTAACCCAATTCTACATGGGCAGATGATACACTAACTAAAGGTGCCCCAGCGTGCTCCCAAATGGCGGGTCCACAAAGAGGTCCGCAGAATGGATGGTCAGTGCATTTTATTGAATCAGCACAGTACAAAAATAAATAAAAATAAGGGAAGGGGAATTAAATTACAGCCAAACTGAGCTTCATGACTCTTCAGATTATAAACCACACATACTCAGAAACACACCATACATACATACAAAATGAGACAAATATAAATTAATATTAACAGTATCCACAGTTTGGTCAAAGAGTAGCTACAGAAAAAATTTCACTAAAAAAAAAAAAAAAAACATACATCACATGTGTGTAAGTAGCAGTATCGGATGTACAGCTATGGATAATTTGGGGGCAGGGGATGGCACATTTTTTTTTTTCATTGCAAGTTTAACACTGCTGGAACAAAACTAAATTCTAATAACTGCATGGAAAGAATATATCAACCCTTCAAGGAAAAGAGAAAAATCCAATCCTGAACTATGCTCCCGTGGCTCATTCTCGGCACGCATGACTCTCGCGGCCATCTGTTCTAAGGTTATTTTTCTTAAGACACAAAATGCCCCTGCTTGGCATGCACAGTACCACTGTAAAAGCAACGGAGAAGAAAAGGGGCTTTTTTTTTCTTTTTTTGTAGATTTTTTTTCACATTTTTCTTTTTTTTTTCTTTTCTATTTTGTGTGTGTTTGTTCTAAAAGTGTCTTCATAGCAGCATGTCAGATGGGTTCGTTGCTCGAACACTCAAGTCTATCAGTTGTTCCTTTACACAGCACTGATGACCGATGCAAGGGGAGAGGACACATGGACTTCACAATGGAACGAGGGAGTTCTTTCCTTAGTCGCCGACCACTCCTGAAGTATGCACCTCCTCAAAAGTTAAAAAAATTAAAAAAGAGAGAAGGAAACCGTCAGCAGAGCTGGACTCCTGTTACTGCAGCTCAGTGGAACAGCTCCAGGCTGGCCTCAGCAGCTGGCAGGCTACAAACACACGCCCCCTCCTCCTCAGACTGGACACTGGAAGCTCTTCCAGCCGCCCGTGGGGCTCCCAGTGTGGGTCACGGTGGCAGCAGGATCTGAAGGTGGGCGACTTGAAGCCAGTACAGACAGGCTGCGGCAAGGCCTGCCCAGCTCCGTGTCAGATCATGCCAGGGCCCAGGATCTGCTCTCTAGGAACCCGGATGAGGGACTGGGGAGAGGCTCTCTAGTCCCGACAGGTCCTCTTCCCCACCTCTGCGAATACGTCGGCTGAAAGGCTGGCTCCGCTCCAGGTCTCTTCAGTCGAGACCTCAATTTCACAGCTTTTTCATTATATGTGATTTTTCAGTAGTGCTTGTGCGAGTTGGCAGCCACCTAGAGCCTAATCCTATGTAAGATAATGTCTGCCTTCCCCACTGTAGCCCCCAATCCAACACTCCCCGGGAGCAGGACAGGAAGAGGAAATCCTCCGTAGCATCTTCACATTGCTCTTTGTTCCCCAACGCTGGAGTGAGGGCCATGCAGGAAGACTCGCTCCCTCCTCTTGGACCACTTCCAAACCCCAAGCCACCAGTCTGGGGAAATTAGAAAGAGAATCCAGTCAAGTCCACAGAGTGTGTTCTGCAGCAGGCAGGTAGGCACCACACCCAGCAGCTGGAAGTGTTAGCTGGACGGTCACCGAGCTTCCAAAGCAATCAGGGGTCACGCTGGAATCTTGAAATTGTCTCCAAGACGCAGCTGTCTCAGTAGGTTGCACAGAGCAAAGCTTCCTCTCCAGGAGAAGCCGAACAGATTGGGAACCGCTTTAAATCAACAAGGGGTAGGAGTGGGCGACGCCAACACCACCTCACCCGAATCCACTCATCTCACCTTCCCCAGCTTCGGAGGACAAATGCCATGGGCACCAGCAAGAGGCCTGAGCACTTAGGTGGGCACCAACTTGATCTCAGGCGTGGACACCCACATGCCCAGAAGGCAGCGTTGCTCATGGGTCCCTGCTGCTGTCCTGGCTTTTGTACAGGGTGACTGACTAATCTGCATTGTTCAGATGAAACACTCACTCAGGAAAGGAGCTGCCCCTAGCTTCACTTCCCCCCCTCAGCTGGGACCCAAAGTGAGAGAGAAATCTAATGAGCAAACCACCTCATTAACCAACACTAACACGGGAGCTGGGAGCATAGACAAAAGGACAGGGCAGGGAGCTCCATCCTGCCAGCAAAGGAAAGCCCTTCTCCCTAAAAAGCAAGCAGCAGACCAGGGCTGTGCATGGGTCAACAGTCATCAATAATCTCTGCACCAGACCCACCCCCAGGCTTCTGCACGGACGCCCCAGGGCAGCGGAGATCTTGCCTCACAACCATCAAGATCCTGAGTCAGGAGAGCTGGCCCCAGGAGCCTTTGAGAGAATGAAACAGTCGCCGGGAAAGGGCCGATTCCTCCTGGGCCACCAGCCACAGGACCCTCTCCAGCTCCAGCCATGGGACAGTGGGAAGCCTCATCAACCCTGGACCCGGATGGGTCCAGGTGACAAGGGGAGGTCAGTCCCTTAGTCCGGGAAAGTGAGTGGTCAGCAGCCTTAAGTGGCTCTGAACGTGTCTCGTGGGTTTGCACAAGGTTCATGAGTTCGAAAGTCCCAAGAGTTCTGGAAAGGGCTGGAAAAAAACCCCAAGGAAAGAACATGGGAAGAGACCCTCGGTGGCTCTGCTAGACACATACTGTACACAAAACTCGATTCGTTTAGTAATAAATTTTAAAAACGAATGGAATCCTTGAGCCGAGGTGCCGGCTCCAGGAGCTCACCGGTCGAGCCCCAGGAGGAGGCGCTTCTTGTCCTCCTGGCCGCTCTCATTCTTCAAGTCGGAGAACACCTGTGTGAAGTAGTGTGGGTCGGCGTTGATCTGCAGCATCTTGGAGCTCATGAGGTTGATAACTGAGAGGCAACGGTCCCAAAAGGCTTCTTTGCAGCTCTCCACCAGGAAGGGCTTGAGCGGGTAGGAGATTTCATTGCCCATGTAGGAATAGGAGAGGTACAGACAGGTCAGCAGGACGGCCTGGAGCTCGTGGTCCGAGCCCACCTCGGAGGAGATGACGTCCCTGCAGAGCATGTAGAGGAAGACCACATTGGCCGGTGTGATGAAGCCCTGGTCCTGCCAGCCCTGCAGGAGCAGCGAGCGGTCCACGCTTCGCAGCCAGAGCACGGGGTCCGTGGGGGACAAGTGCTTCAGGCGGTAGCACCGGCGGCAGAGAAACTCACCCAGGCAGCGCAGCAGCTCGCTAGTGGACGCCTGGACGATGACCCGTTTGGGTGTCCCTGCAGAGGTGATGGCAGGGTGCGGGGCCTTCTTGACAGAAGAGGAGACCCCAGTCTGGGAGCCAGAGAGCTGGCTGGCTGGGGGTGCGGGCGGCTGGGCCGGCGGGGGCTGGGCGAATGTGGACAGGTTGGCGCAGGACAGCGACTTCTTCAGGTTCTCATTGTTGAGGTGCGCGATGTTGCTCTGGTAGCTGCTGTTGGGCTGCGCCTTCTTGGAGTTCTTCTTCTTGGCTGACACGGCCACGATCCTCTTCCAAGGCAGCACGGAGATGATGGAGTGCCGCTTCAGGTTCTTGTCCTTGGCGTTCTTGCTGTTCTGCACGGCCGTGTAGTGGCCCACCGTGGCCGAGCCATCCTCAAACAGGGTTGCCTTCCGATAGCTGGGGGACAGGGACAGAACCGTGCCCATGGTGCCACTGCGCGCCGGGCAGGGGCCAGCGCCCCTGCGCGCCCAGCCTGCCGGCCGGAGGGGGAAAAACGCCTTACCGAGCCTGCGGCGGCCTCAGAGAGAAAGGAGGCGCTCCCGGGACGCGACGCGAGTAGCCCTGCGGATCTGCGTGGAAAACAAGATGGTTCTCAGCCCCGGGCGGGGCTCCGTGCCGCGCCCCTCCGCCCGCACCTCCGAGGCCCGAACCCCCGGGCTGCGGCCCCGCCGAGCCCCGGCCCGCGCTGCCACTGCGGCACCGGCCAAGAGCCGCAGAGGCCGCCGTAGCGAGAGTCGGAGCAGGCCGCGCGCACGGCCCCGCTCTGCGCAGGCTTACCCGCAGGCAGGCTCCCGCGGCAGGCGCAGCCGCTGCGTCCCCGGCCCTCCGCAATGCGCGCCGCGGCCCTGGGGCTCGGAGCGGCTCCGCGCGGCGGCGGCGGCTCTCAGCTTCTGTCCAAGGTTCTGCAG